ATTAATATTTTTACAAGTAAAATTAATAGCACAGGTCTGTCATGTGCACATATATACACAAGTCTCTTAGACTTTAAAATTTTATTTATTTTATTCTGTAAAAGCAGAAAGATGGAAATAAAAAATAAAGGCTTTCTCTAAACCTAAGTAATTCTCATTGACTAAACTAAAACTAATAAATTATCAAAAAAATTTTCTCACTGGTCCTTTTCTTTTAATATACTGGGGTAACATTAGTTAATAAAATTATATAGGTTTCAGCTGTACACGTCTATAATTCAGCATCTATGTATTGTATGTATGTTCACCACCCCTAGACAAGTCTCCTTTCATCACCATTTATCCCTCCTTTAACCTCTTCTACCTCCCCCTACTCCTCTTTCCCACTAGTAATCAACATATTGTTGTCTGTGTCTGAGTCTTTCGGGTTTCTTACTGATTTTAGAAAGAGGGAGGGGGGAGGGAAAGGAGGAAAGAGAAGAGAAAGGGGGTAAGAAAAAGAGAGAAATATTCATCAGTTGCCCCCACACACATCCAGACCAGGAATCAAACCCACAACTTGGATATGTGCCCTGACTAGTAATCAAACCCGCCCCCTTTTGATGTATGGGACAACACTCCAACCAACTGAGCCACACTAGCCAGTGCTATGAGGTTCTTTTGTTTGTTTCATCCCTTCACCTTTTTCACCCCAATCCTCTTCCTCTCTGATAGCTGTCAATCTGTTCTCTTACCTGTGAGTCTGTTTCTATTTTGATTGTTAGTTTATTTTGTTCATTAGATTCCACATATAAGAGAAATCATATGGTACTTGTCATTCTCTGAATGGCTTATTTCACCTCAAATAATACTATCCAGGTCCATCCATGCTGTCGCAAAAGCTAAGATTTCCTTCTTTTTTACAGCCAAGTAGAATTCCATTGTGTAGATGTACCACTGCTTTTTCATCTACGCATCTACTGATGGACACTTGGGCTGCTTCCAAATCTTGGCTACTATAAATAACACTGCAATAAACATAGGGTACATATATTCTTTCGAATCAGTGTTTCAGGTTTCTTCAGATACATTTCCAGGAGTTGATTGCTGAGTCACAAGGCAGATTCATTTTTACTTTTTTTTTTTATCCTCACCGGAGGACATTTTTCCACTTTTTGTTCAGATAGAGTAGGAAGGAGAGAGAGGAAGAGACAGAGAGAAACATCAACGTGAAAGGGACACATCAAGTGGCTGCCACGCACACAACCAACAGAGCCGGGGACAAACTGCAACCAAGCTACGTGCCCTTAGCGGGAACCGAACTTGGGTCTCTCTGCACCACAGGCGGATGCTCTAACCACTAAGCCAAACTGATGAGGGCTCATTTTTACTTTTTTTTTCATCCTCACCGGAGGATATTTTTCCGTTTTTTGTACAGATAGAGTGGGAGGGAGAGAGAGGAAGGGAGAGAAAGAGAGAAACATCGACGTGAAGGGACACATCAAGTGGCTGCCACCCGCACGACCAACCAGTGCCGGGGACAAACTGCAACCAAAGTAAGCGCCCTTAGCGGGAACCAAACCCAGGTCTCTCCGGACCGCAGGCCGACGCTCTAACCGCTGAGCCAAACTGGCCAGGGCTCATTTTTACTTTTTGAGGTAACTCCATAATGCTTTCCAGTGGCTGCACCAATCTGCATTCCCACCAACAATACACAAGGGTTCCCTTTTCTCCACATCCTCACCAACACTTGTTTTTGATTTACTGATGGTAGCCATTCTGACAGCTGTGAGGTGGTATCTTTTGTGGTTTAATTTGCTTTTCTCTTGATGATTAGTGATGTTGAGTATCTTTTCATTTGTCTATTGGACTATATGCCCCCTTGGAAAAGTGTCTATTCAGGTCCTTTGCCCATTTTTTATTTGGATTGTTTTTGGTTTTGGTGTTGAGTAGTACAAGTTCTTCATAAATTTTGGACATGGACTTCATTATCAGATGTATCATTAGTATGTTCTCCCATTCAGTGGCTTGTCTTTTCACTTATATTGATGGTTTCTTAAGCTGTGCAAAATTTTTTAGTTTTATGCAATCCAATTTGTTTATTTTTTGTTCTCCTTGCCAGTAGCCATATATCACAAAAAATATTGCTACAAGAAATGTCCAAGATTTTACTGCCAATGCTTTCTTCTAGGATTTTTATGGTTTTGAGTCTAACATTTAAGTCTTTAATCCAGTTTGAGTTTATCTGGCTATGTATGATGTGAGAAGGTGGTCTAATTTCATTTTTTTGCATATATATAGCCAATCTTCCCAACACTATTTTTAAAAATGTTTTCTTTGCCCTGGCCAGTTTGGCTCAGCGGTTAGAGCGTCGGCCTACGGTCTGGAGAGACCCGGGTTCGATTCCCGCTAAGGGCACGTACCTCGGTTGCAGTTTGTCCCTGGCCCTGGTTGGATTGTGTGGGTGGCGACCACTCGATGTGTCCCTTTCACGTCGATGTTTCTCTCTCTCTCTCTCCCTCCCACTCTATCTGAACAAAATATCAAAAAATGTCCTCGGGTGAGGATAAAAAATATATATATATATATATATATATATGTTTTCTTTTATTGATTTTTAGAGAGAGAAGAAGGAAGAGGGGGAAAGAGATGGAAATATTGATGAGAGAGACACATCAACTGGCTGCCTCCTGCACACACCCAATGGGGACTGAGCCCACAACCCAGGCAAGTGCCCTGACCGTAATCGAACCGGCAACTTCTATGGGTTGACACTCAACCACTGAGCCACACCAGGGGGGCCCAACACCATTTATTGAAGATTATCATTACTCCATTTTATATTCTTTCTTCGTCAAATATGAATTTACCATAAAGGCACTGGTTTATTACTGGGTTCTCTATTCTGTTCCATTGATCTCTATATCTGTTTTCATGCTAGGACCATGCTGTTTTGGTAACTATGGCCTTGTAGTATAGTTTGATATCAGGTAGCATGATTACTCCCGCTTTGTTCTTCCTCAAGATTGCTGTGACTATTCTGGGTCCAAATTTTTTGAATATTTGTTTCACTTCTGTGACATATGCCATTGGTAACTTAATAGGAATTGTGTTGAATCTATAGATTGCTTTGGGTAGTATGAACATTTTAATGATGTTAATTCTTCCTATCCATAAACATGTTATATGTTTCCACTCATTACTATATTCTTCAATTTCTTTCTTCAGTGTCAGAATTTTCCAAGGACAAGTCTTTTACATCCTTAGTTAAATTTATTCCTAACTTTAACTTTTTTTGATGCAATTGCAAATGGGTTTTCCTAGTTTCCCTTTCTGATAATTCATTATTGATGTATATAATTGCAACGGATTTCTGGGTATTATTTTGTATCCTGCTCATTTATCAGTTCTAGTTGTTTTTTGGAGGATTCTTTAAGGTTTTCTGTATACATAGTATCATGTCATCTGCAAATAATGACAGTTTTACTTCTTTCTTTCCAATTTGGATGCCCTGTACTTCTTTTTGTCTGATTGCTGTGGCTAGGACTTTAGAACTATGTTGAATAAGAGTAGTGAAAGCAGACATCTCTGTCTTGTTCCAGATCTTAAGGGAAACATTTGTAGCTTTTGTCCACCGAATATGATGTTGCTTTACGGTTTCAATGAATATTTTAGGGACTTAGAAGAAATAAAATGCTATTAGTCATTGTTTGAAAATATTCATTTTCTAATCAAAGATGTCACTCAAAATAGGAACCCAGTTTGGGAGCACCAGAATAGTTTTAATATGCAAATTAAACCTCTAACAAATACAACTTACTTCCTCGCAATGGTGGTCACTCGAATGCGTCTCTGCCCACTTGAATGCTGATACTGAGTCACAAACTGAATTGCACCACGCCCTCCTTGAGGAATTGGGGCATTATGCTGTGTGAAAGAAAGAGTAAAAACTAAGCAAAATCTACTTTGTTGTTGTCATACAGTCATTGACTGCACATCTTAGCACTAATAAAATTAATTCTAATACTGATTGGAAGGATTTTTTTACAGTACATACACAACATATGATATGTCACATAAAAGAAAGATGGATCTGGGAAAGGGGGAAAATGATGAAGGATAAGAGGAGTGAGTCCAACTAGGATATCAATTTCCTGTAACATATAATTGAGAAGAACATAAAAGTAACAAAATGAAGGGAGAAGTGTAAAGAAATTAACAGATAAAGAAAGCTGTGCCCTGGCCAGTTTGGCTCAGCAGTTAGAGCGTCAGCCTGTGGATTGGAGAGTCCTGGGTTTGGTTCCCGCTAAGGGCATGTACCTCGGTTGCACTTTGTCCCTGGCCCTGGTTGGGGTTGTGTGGGTGGCAACCACTCGATGTGTCTCTCTCACGTCGATGTTTCTCTCTCTCTCTTTTCCTCCCTCCCTCCCTCCCTCCCTCCCTCCCACTCTATCTGAAGATAAATGCAAAAATATCCTCAGGTGAGGATAAAAAAAAAAGAAAAGGTGTGAGGCAATTTTGCCTAATAGTAATTAGAAAGAGAAACTGAGCTAAGTCATACTCCACTATGTATATAAAATGAAAACAGAACTTTTAGAAGATAAATCACATGATGAACAAATGACCAATAATAAACTAGTAATGAGAAGAGACTAATGATTATAGTAACAATCCTCAGAAAGAAACAGCAAGAAGTCAATAGGAAAACTTTCTTCATGCCCTTTGACAATAGATATTCTTGCTTTGGTTTTGTTTGTTCTGGTCAATAACCACCATTATCTTGTTTACAAATTTTAACTGTTGGGGAAAAAAATTCTTATACCTGTCTTAGGAAGCCTGACTATTAATAGTCTGTGGTTCATTTTATGCCTAATAAGTACTGATATAGAAGCCAGTAATTTAATATATTAAATAATTCTTTAATATCATAACTTCCTCCTATAGCAAAAAAAAAATCTTTCTAATTATTGGAATCTTTACCTTGCAATTTTTTTCTATGGATTTTGACATTAAACTTTCTTGTGCTCATTTTGGCAGTACATATACTAAAACTGGAATGATACACAGATGATTAGCATGGCCCCTGTGCAAGAATGACAGGCAAATGTGTGAAGCTTCCATATTTTAAAAAATATATAAGGAAAAAAAACTTTCTTGTAGGGATCATAGTGTCATTACATATACACAGCATGTCATATTTAGGAGCTAGATACCAAATTACAAAAATTGACAGCTAGAACAAAATTAAAATTTTACTTATGCTTCAATTTTATATTAAAAAAAAAAATCCCTGATTCCAGCTAGTGTGGCTCAGTGGTTGAGCGTCAAGCCATACACCAAGAGGTCGCCAGTTCGATTCCCGGTCAGGACACATGCCCAGGTTGTAGGCCCGATCCCCAGTGGGGGACATGCAGGAGGCAGCCAGTCAATGTTCTCTCTCATCGATGTTTCTCTCTCTCTCTCTCCCTCTCACTTCCTCTCTCTCTAAAATATCAATAAAGTGAAATAAAAAACCCTGAAACTAAGTTGGGTCACCCAAGGTTGGGCATTTGCAGGTTTCCCTGACATCTCCTTCTATTATAGTATATCCTCTATTGAAAAATAGAAAACAACAAACAAAAACTTCAAAATAGAGTAAGCTTTGGGTTACATTTACTATTGGAAGAAAATACACAAAATATTTATGGCCTAAATTATGTACAAGTATTGTTTTAAACATACATTTCAATATTCAAATGTAAAAAGTCATACCTGATTGACAACCTCAAAATATATGGCTAAGGTTGTAGTGGGACTGAGTCCACATATCTTCCACTGACAAGTGCCACTTGTTCCTATCTCCTGTCAAAATAAAACATAACATGTTTGAAAAACTAGACAACATCATTTATTACTATAATATACTAAGGTGAAAAGGGGGTAATAAAAACTTCAGTAAGAAAAAAATCTATTTCAGGTTTCTAATAAATTCATTGAATATGAAAAACTTAAAATCATATTAAATATATCATAAAATAAAATTAAGCAATTTTTACACAATATAATTATAAAATAATTCAAATTTTTGCTAAGTAAATCACAAAAGTATTGATAGTTCTTCATTTTGTAGACTTTAAAAGTATATAACATTGCCCTGGAGAGTTCACTCAGTGGTTAGAGCATTGGCCCACAGACCAGGTTTGAGTCACAGGTTTGATTCCGGTCAAGGGCACGTACCTTAGTTTCGATTCGTCCCAGCCCTGGTTGGGGTCATGCAGGAGGCAGCCACTCAATGTGTCCCTTTCACATCGATGTTTCTCTTTCTCTCTCTCTCTCTCTCTCCTTCTTTCTTCCTCTCTCTCTCTCCCTCCCACTCTATCTGAACTAAAAGGTGGAAAAACGTCCTCAGGTGAGGATAATAAAGAAAGAAAGAAAGAAAGAAAGAAAGAAAGAAAGAAAGAAAGAAAGAAAGAAAGAAAGAAAGAAAGAAAGAAAGAAAGAAAGAAAGAAAGTATATCCCATTTAATGAAGAAATTACAACTAAAATTATCCTTCTATCCAACTGTTTGATATGTGTAAAGAGTTACTGATTTAGCCAGGCCACTGTGGCTCAGTAGACTGAGCATCAGCCCACGCACCAAGAGGCCGCCAGTTTGATTCCTGGTCAGGGTACATGCCCTGGTTGTGGGCTCGATCCCCAGTAGGGGGTGTGCAGGAGGCAGCCAATCAATGTTTCTCTTGCATCGATGTTTCTCTCTCCCTCTCCCTTCCTCTCTATCTAAAAATCAATAAAAATAAATTTTAAAAGAGAGATACTGATTTAACACATAATTTATGTACATATGAATACAGGCTCTCTGGATCTGAACTGCATAATTTTTTTTTTTTTTATCCTCACCCGAGGATATTTTTCCATTTTTTGTACAGATAGAGTGGGAGGGAGAGAGAGGAAGGGAGAAAGAGAGAGAAACATCGACGTGAAGGGACACATCGAGTGGCTGCCACCCGCACGACCAACCAGGGCCGGGGACAAACTGCAACCGAAGCACGTGCCCTTAGCGGGAACCGAACCCGGGTCTCTCCGGACCGCAGGCCGACGCACCAACCGCTGAGCCAAACTGGCCAGGGCCTGAACTGCATAATTTAAGCAGTCTTATTCCCAAGAAAAATTTTAAGATACAAATCTTTACCATGCAAACTGCTTAAAATTAATTTTCAGGTCAGTCATTTTAAAGGTGATTACCCACGTTGTGTTATTTGTCCCATCCTTCTCTCTACAGGAATAGTACATAATTCTACCATTTTTAAGAGCATTATACATACACTAGATCAGGGGTAAGGAACATTCAGCCCACAGCCCTCAAAATGAATACCAGCTAACATCACACTCCTCACCAAATTAGCCTGACCAAATAAGTACAGCAGGCTAATTTTTAAGTTGATAATTTTGTATGGCCCTCAAATGATGTTATAAATATCCAAATGGCCCTTGGCAGAAAAAAGGTTCCCCACCCCTGCACTGCATGGAATAATAAGAAAGGAATTGAAACTTATGTCTGTCTAATTTGGTTATTTTGTTATAAATTCTACTAACAAAAATATTTCAAAATTATTTTGATTTTCAGAAGAGTCCAAATTTCCAAATCATAGTTGTTAGGTTTTTTTAGGCCCACTGGGGTAGGAATAACTTAGGCATAAAAACTGAAGACTAGTACAGTACAAAAGTCTTAATTTAGGGGTGGGTGGGAAAAGGAGTATTCGGATAGAGCAATCACAAAAAGAGGTATACCGATAGAGGCTGAAAAACTGAGTCTACACAATAATTTTAAAAGGCATGCTACAATCTGCCACCCATGTCTCTGTTGGTTATTTCCTAAAAATTAAACTTTACTTTCTTTTTAGAATAAAGGTGACTTACATTTTCAGACACACAGGGTCCTTTAGAATTGAGAGACACACAGGGTCCAATAGCTCCTGAAATCTTTATTTCCCTTGAGGTCTGCAAAATAAGAAGACATACTACACTTTGGTGTGCTCAAAGATAAGCTCAAACATTCAACTATAAGTAAGTTAAAAATAATGATATTCTTTCACATTTAAAACTCAAAAGTTAATGGAAATATACTAACGTTAAAATAATTAATCAGTGAGCACTTTCCCCAAATTTAAAATCTACCCTTGACCTAACTGTAATCTTCTATTTCCAGTTGCCCAGAAGGACTCCATTTGGTAATTCACCCTCAATTCACTATCATATCATACCCAAAATTCATATTTCCTAAACCAAAACCTTACACACCAGCTTCAATTTTCCCTCCCACAGAAAAGTCTGTCACCAAGATTGGGTTTTTTCCAATCTCCACTGACATCAAAATTTAAGCTATCATTTACCTTCTATCTAAAAAAAATTAAAAAGCTTGCCCAGACAGTGTGGCTCAGTGGTTGAGCATCAACCCATGCACCAAGAGGTCACTGGTTCAATTCCCGGTCAGGGCACATGCCCAGGTTGTGGTCCTGATCCCTAGTGGGGGGCATGCAGGAGGCAGCCAATCAATTTTCTCTCTCATCGATGTTTCTATCTCTCTCTCCCTCTCACTTCCTCTCTCTCTAAAATCAATAAAGAAAAAAAAATTTTTTAATAAAAATATTTTAAAAAATTAAAAGCCTAACTCAATTTTCTTATTTGAGTTTCTTTTTCCTGACAAATCTTAAATGTGACTGTCAGATAAATTCTCCCCAAAGCACTATTAATTAACCTACAATGGCTGCTTCAGCCTCCTCATGCATCTGCAAACTACAGCCAACACACAGAACTAACCTCCTTCCCTTACATTCCCAATACAAACCATCCACTGGCACTGGGCAGCTTCCTCAAACATACTATGCTGATTCTCACCTCTGCGTCTCTCCTCACACTGGGCTCCTGTCCAAAATGCATTCTCTTTAATCAACTTAAATTCTGCCATCTTTCAAACACCAGTGTAAGGCACAATAAAATCATTTATTTTCTTGGATAAATTGTGTTCTGGATACATTAATCTTTCATCCTTAAACCTTCATGGCACTTTTATAATCTACTGTTATTTCATTCTATCACATGTTAAACTTGTCTTTCTCTCAAAACTAAGTTTCTTTATAAGAAGACCTGTGCTTTGGATATCCTTATGATCTCTACAATTTCTTAGCTTAACGCTGGACATTTAGCAAGCATTCAATATCATAATAAGATTAACAAGAAATATTTCATGAAAATTAAAAATCAATGGGCTTGCAATGAACTTGTAACTAACACTAAGCCTTTGGGTTTTTAAAATTCAAATTTGAAATGAATGATAGAAAATAATATCAACAACTACCAAACAATTACTGATTATTAAAGTAGAATAGAATAAGTTTCTCTTAAATTAGAATCAATTACTGTAATTTTTAAAATCTAGCACCTGCATAAGCTAATTCAGCACTAAAAAGATCAAACACACTAAAAAAGTTAAACCCTATAAAAAAGAAAAACTAAAGTTTAAGTGATTTTTACCTATATATCTTCTTTTCTAACAATTCTACAGAAGTGCTCAAGTAAAATTTTGTTGTACATTTTTAATTAATAAAATCTCTAACTCTGGCTTTCAATATAATATAACCACTATTTTTAAAGCATATGTTGAATTTGATGATCAGAATTTAAAAATTCTGATCAAGCCTGCAAATTTTTGGTTCTTACCTTTATTTCTAATGTACCACCAAAACCCATTTTAAACTGCCCATGCATATCTTTGGTGAAGACTCTTTGAAAAGTTTGCTTGAATAAGGAAGTGTTGAAAGAGTCACCCATTACCATGTATCCTCTGCATGGAAAGAACAGAAAACAATGTAGGTGACACAAGTAGTGGGTTCATGTGTTAAGACCAAAAGTAGATTGCTTCTCAGTGCTACTAACGAACTTTAAAGACATTTCCTAAAATGTACTACATTACTATTAATTTTTAAAACTCAAATATTTGAGAATGTACCCACTACACAAATAATCTAAATTCTGAGGGCACCTGAGTGCCCCTAACACTTGCATTTGTTCTCAGTAATTTTATCAGTTTATCTTTTTTATTTTTTCATCACCATTTATTCCCTTGTTCTCAGTTATTTTTAAAAGATGCT